ATGAGGAGATATTGGCTATCAGATACTGACTGTTATACATATAACTCATATGTTAGACATATAACTTCACAAGATACATAAATCTTTAAGAAGATGCATATTAAAACTGCGTTGTATTGAAAACACAAGACAGATAATTTTGGCAGACAAATAATTTTTACTTCATATTTTTTTGGTAAATAACTAAAATAACATACTAGCTGGAGTCCTTTGCACGCCACTATAGGCGTAATGTTGCTTTTACCTCTGGGACCTGGTTGGAAAAAATTGTCTGTAACACAATTAATTAAGTTTTTTGAAATTAATTAATTTTTTTAAATTTATTTATTTTTATTTATTTACTTATTTTTATTTAATTTTTTATTTATTTATTTTTTCTATTTATTTATTTATTTTATTTACTTATTTATTTTTACTTATTTATTTTCGTTTATTTATTTATTTTTATTTCTTCTTTACATCGATCCAAATTCTTTTTACTTTCCTTTAAGCATCATAGACACTTTTTGCTTCACTTTTTAAACTCCCTTTTCCCTGAGGTTCAGGTATTCAAATTTAAAACTATCTTTTACTGGCATAATAGTTAAAATGCAGACATTTTCAAATTCCCTAACCATTTTCTTCTAACATCGCAGCATATGCATCGCATGAGGGAACTAAAAAGCCTCTCTAATATCCCTTCGAAGCGGGTTAAGGCCAATATTCTATTCTTTGTTAAGATTTCGGATAACCAACTATTTCTAGACAAAATTATTGCATTACGGGCTAATGTCCATTTTTACTGGTTTAAATGATACATACATAACAAAGATATTTGATACTTTTATCGAAATTTATCAGTCCAGATTCGAATATTATTAAAAAAATTACCCAAGTTTTCTAGATTGTAGAAAATGTTTACAAGTTACAGAATTTATCGATATAGCTGAAATATTTTACCAGTAAATAAAATTAATACTACACAACTAAATAAAAAAAAATATCTTAAAAACTTAGGGTATCCTTTTTCTATTATATACTTTATAAATTTAGCGACTGCTTCACACTAATGAAAAATAAGTTGTTGTATCTTAAATTTCGTTATATAAAGATAAAAATCTATAACTTTTTTGAAATCAAATTGTAGTAAGTTTTAGAACGATTTGAAAATGAGCATCCTCAATATTTTATTAATTTGGTTCCAGTGTGAGCATGCACATAATGAGTCAAAAAATTTCAAAATATTTAACGAAAAAGTTTCAGGCAGAAAGACTTAAAGAAATTTTTATAGGATAAGAAATGCAACTGATACCATTATTTATGAGCTTAAAAAAAAAGTATGTGTATAATTAAATGGCATATAATTAAATATTTTCTCGAAGCAACATGTTTTACAAGAAAGTAAATCAAATGCTTAATAAAGCCTGGTCAATTGATGAAATGGATGTTTATTTCACAGACCATACAGAAAGTGCTTGTTAAAAAATTTTAAAGCATTATTTTATTTATTTTCCTTAAATAATGGGATAAAAAGCGATTTTTACTTAGAAATGTGTAGTTCATAAGAAAATAACTGTGATGAAATAATTTTTGCTTAAAAAAGTTAAATTAATTGAACATAATTATTTATTTTTAATCGTTACGTTAAGAAATTATTCATTTTAACTTCTAGGAGTTTTTGTATGTAAGATATTATTAAACCGTATTTTGGTCATGAAACAAAATCTACTAGATTCAAATAATAAGATATTTTTTTATCATAAAGTTGCTTGAATTGAATTTTTTTTACCTTTCTTATAATTTTTCATTACAACTAAAAACTCCAAGCAACGCGAACAAACTAAAAAATTTTTTTATGATATTTTTGAAACAAAATTGTACAATGTATGATATTTTTGAAGCAAAAATATTACATAATAATCAGCTAACACAGAAAATATAAATTTAATAAAATTCACAGTCTCATTTGTTCATTCTTAAGAAGAAAAAAATAAAATCTCATAAATCTTCCTTCATACTTTATCTTAAATCATTAAAAATGTCTTTTAATGCCGAGAATAGTCTTTCTACAGCAGCTTGGCTAGCGTGCAATGCTGTTGCAATGTAGCAGGTCTCTTAAATATCTGTAAGATACATGGAAAGTGCTGGAGCCCTGAAGCATAGGAATATTTAAAGCTCCAACCCCAGCTCTGGAGCTCACCGACTCAAGCTCCAGTTCCGGTACTTGATTTTCTCTGTATATCTGTTAATTTTAGTAAAAGTGTGAATAAGTAGTTGGAGGATCATTTAAAAATATTTTAGCTACTAGGGAATTATTGTAGTTTGATTCATTGTATTTTTAAAAAGGATTTTTATACTCAACACTATAGTTACGTTTTTAAATTCAAAAGTTAAATGATAACACGGAGGAAAAAATGAGCAATAAACATTCAAAAACAATGGCACATGCAGTATATTCACATTTTAATTTGATTACAAAGCAGTTCAAATTTTATAAGCATCGTCTTTAAGATTTATGTATCATTTTTAAGTTCTAAACAACCAAATGCTGCATGGAGTTACAAAAAATATATTGAGACGCCACTATAGATATAATTTTTTGTGCGAATTTAATGCTTTGTGAAAATTTTAAATTTTTCATAAAATTTTTCATACCGATCAGGATAATTTAAAGGGCATAAATTTAAATTTTTCTTAAAATAAACGAACCCTTTTTTTTTATACTAAATAAGTTTAATTCATCATGGTACATAGTTTCTTCCTTGACCATTATATTTCCTGTCAATAAAATTTTGACAAATATTATACTAAGGGAAAAATATTTTTGCTTTCATGTTACAATCAACTGAAGAGATAACCATCCTAAAACGCAAACCTATAAGCAGTATTTATAATGCAATACCCCTCCAATAAATACTATTATTTTTGACCTAGCGTGATGTATTCTAAGGGATCAATGTGTTTCATTACGCAACTATCTTTTTTTAAAAAAATTTTAAAGTGATAGCGAATGAAAAAAAGTAGTTATTTATTTAAAATATTTAAATTTTACTACTTTTTAATTCGAAGCACTTTTCATTGGGCTGCCATGTTCAAGAGTTAAAGGGTTAGGGAACGAATATCATATATCTAGTGACCAATATCCTTAGGCTAGTGCTAATGAGAAATAGGTGAATTTTTGGTGCTGATACAGTTGTGGCTCTACTTGGGCAAAATTTATGTAAAATTTAAAAGGACTGGTTAAAATTTTTAATACGTTTTAATTTTTTCAATATCATAATTTAAATGCTTTTCATTAGTCTTAAAATGCTCCAAAAGTTATTCATAACTTATTGAGATTCTTATGTTCGGATTGATAAGACAATTTTTAAGACAGTACTTAGTTTTTTATTGTTTTAATTATTTTTCGGCAGACAAAGCATATAGCTTTAGGGGGCTAGTAGAGAATTTTTTACTAAAATTAGTTATTAATTTTCATTCGCACTTTGTCTGCTACCTAATAAACTGTAAAAAAAAAACCACAAAATATTAAAAAGTATTAAAATGTCCGACATTCTAAATGATTAAAATGACATTGCTTCTCAGATTACAAGAGAAATATGATGTTCTTTCTGATATAGGAAAAATGTTAGGAATGTTGGATTACTTTAATTTTAAATCTTTTATTAAATTTCACTTGGCATCACTAATCACATACGATTTAATAAAAATGCATGTTGTCTACATGCTATAAATTCAAATTTTTCTAATATTTTGCTGAAAATTTTTCTGCTCTTCATAATGAGATGCCTTTAGCCTTAAAGTCTTTTTAAATGCTTATTGTTAAATTTATCAGTGTAATTAATAGATCAATTAACTAAAGTCACTTAATTGTCTTAAATTAGTGAAATATTAAAGAAATAATTTGAAATTTTGTGATACTAGATTTTATTTCTGTTCGTTTTCAGCTAAGAGTTTTTTTCTTTTTAATATTTTCGTTCATATGCTTTATAAAATAAACTCACCAACAACAACTGACCACTGGGCTGGTGGTCTCCATTCTGGATATTGCTTAGGAAATTTCTCTTCAGACCATTCTGTTTGTAAAATTGTCTTGTACATAACCAATACATCAGTCGGACATCGTGCTGCAGCAAGGGTCAACCAAGACCAAGCTAGTGTAAAACATGCAAGCACCCTCATAATTAGAACCGAGTGAACGAAACAAACTCTAGTTTCTTCCCGCCACAGCATCTTTTATTTGTTATTCTTTTTTAATGAAAAGAAAGATCTTTACTCCCGCGCCACCTATGCAGTCAAAACAAACTAAAGAAGCTTTGTACAATGACGTCGAATGTCCTTGCTTAATATATCATGAAGCTAGAAATCTCAGTTGACAGCTATAGACTTGGTGAGCGAATGATTAGACCTCTTCAGTGCTTGTTTTACACAGTTCTAAAAGAAACAATGTCATTTTATAACTGCTAATTATGTTTTTATTTTTCATGTGTGAAAACAATTCTTTAAATTGAAAAATTAGATCTAATTTTCTTTGGCAGTTTTTCTTGAATTCGTTCATTAACCTGATCTTGATTAATTGGATGCATGATGATTTTTATTTGGTTTAATTTATTCCACCAGACATGACCATTATATTATTTTATTTAATTCATTCTCCAATTTTTTTATTTGACAGTGCATTTTTATGAATAAATTAAAAATCAGATAGATTAGATTAACTGTAAATAAATAATAAATAATTGAAAAGCAGCATTCCATGTACATTTATTTGAACTCATAAGTGATTGCTCAAAATAAATAAATAACAAATAAATAAGAAAAATCACTCTTTTCCTTGCGTGAGTTAAAATATTTAAATACAAAATAGAAATTTAAAATACATTTAAATTACTTTTTCTTTAACTATGCATTTAGAAAGAAAATTTTAAAATCTGTTCGTTTTTTTTTTCAATTAAAAAAATGTAAATGGATAAAATAGGAAACGTTTGTTTTTTCTTTAGGTATATTTTCTTGGCAACTTTAAATTTCTTCTGCACTAATTAATTAGCATGCCTAAGTTTGCATCCTCGAACGACTCAGATTGTGTTTTAGTACATGAAAATCTGATTATTAGAGCAAAAATTATTCCAAACGTTTACTTTCTGTTGCGCTCTATTAAAGCAACCCATATAAAGCAGTTTTCCTAATACATTTAATCCTTCACGAGGTTTACCTTTATCGTGTAAGCATAGTTCTTTAAGCCTAAGTGATCTTGCTCTGTTTTTCTCCCCTGTTTTTTGTTGAGGCAATCTAAGTTTATAGCGCCGTTCGATAACCTTTATAGATTCGATTCTTGCTCTTGTGCCAGTCTACATTTAAACTACTAACTTTCAGTTACTCTTAGTTTAATATGCAAGGTTTGGTCAAGTTTCGTTGGTTAAAATATGAATTTATGAATACAAATTTAAAGGCATCACAAAATCCATGTAGGATTTTATTTTTTCGCTATTTGTGCAATAAAATGTTTCCAGCAAAAATAAGACAGCGAGAGGCTGAAATGGAAAATTTTAACTAAAGAACAATGCGTTTTTGTTGTTGAGTAATATTTTATGCATAGTGGAGTCATTCTTTGATCATGAAATTTCCCATTTTGAGTGATTGGAATTGGGCATCAAAATCATACGATTTAAATAGCTTCTCTTTTCTCTCTCTTTAAATCTGAGGTCTGCTCCAAAAAGCTCATAACAACCCACATCTTGAAGAAGGAAATTGAGCTCTGTCAACTAGATTCAGATTCAGAGCCACATTTATGCATAATGGTCTTTGAAAATTTCAACATATGAGTGCGTAAGTGACAGCGAAACTGTGGAAGCTATTTACCAACGCCTCCTAAAAGAGAGAAGGCCTCCGTACGGATCAATTTAGTAGTTCGACATAATTAACATCAACAGCGCAGTGGAGGAAAAAACAAAAGATGTCACAACGTTCTAACTACTAAAGGATCGGAGTTCTCATCTATGGTAACCCGTGAGGAGGTCTTCTCTCTTATAGGAGGTGCTGCATTTAATCTATATGGTATTGTATACATAACGCTTTACTGTATTTTTTTTCATATAATGAGAATGAGTCTATACAGTGAAGTGGTTGAGATCTATAGCGACTATTTCATCTGTATTATGCAAACTGGTTTTCCACCATTCTTATGTGGTATTCGCTGTGTAAGATGGAGTGCATTCGGGTTGGAAAATCCTTTCCTTATTTTCAAAATGCTGTTAGAAGCAATTGATTCAAGAATAATTTACGTCGATACAAGTTCTGAACGATTTTCATACCTTGTTTAATCAAGAATATCTTTGCATGGAATGGGATTGACTTAGGGCGTGCTCAAATCTGATTCCATGAATATTGTATTACTTTAATTTTCTTTACAATCAATTCATATACTGAGTGTACGACTTTTGAAGTTCGTTATTAAATCTCGTAATTTTGAACCAGAGGAAAAAGGAATTTTGAAGTTAAATGACCTGAAGCAAAATTACAAAGCAACAACGGTGAAGCATTAGCCATTTCATTTAAAGTTCCTTCTTACGGCGGGAGTGATTTGTTCCATGTCTTTTGCAGGTGAAGAAAGGTTGGGGACGTATGCCTGCATTTTCTTGAAGCAATTACAGTTAACAGAATTTGTTTTCAAATTATCAGCGAGTAAATTAGCATCACCATATCGAAAGTATTCACCAATTTTCGAAAGTCTTCGCCAAATTCAAATCGTAAAAATTTTTTATTATAAATTTTTTTTCCCCATAGAAAACTATTTTACGGTAGTTTGTTTCAGGCTCATATTATTTGGACCCAATTCTTATTGGTTATGCTGTGCATCTACCAAAAATTACTGTAATCGAATAAAAATTACTGATTTGTTTAGAAAAATTAATTTTGATGTAATTTTGAGAATCAAGTTTATATATATTTTTCTTTCCAGTGGAAAAATCATTCGCCAATACTTTCATCAAAACACAATTTTATTTGCCAAATTTACAATTTTATCGTATTTGACGAGGTAGCTAATGCTTCGCCCGGGCCTGTGGTCAGCAGCATAAAACGAAAGAGGAAGTGATGGCGGTCTAACAATTTGGAAAAGAATTTTCAGTCTGTTTTCATGAATTAAATTTTTTATTTTTTTGCAAAGTAATAAATGTTTGAATTAAAAAATGTATTTTTTTTTTTGAGAATTCGGATTGATTTCCGGAAAGTAGCATAGATCTCGTAGCTAAGTTTTTAAAAAGTGTAAATATGGGATAAAATATACTATAATGTTTTTGTCGTTCTTAAAGCATCTGAATTTCTCGTTGAGAACAGTTACATTTCTAATTATTTTTTTATTACTTAAATAACTTAATTATAAATAAGTGATTGAAATTTATGTTACTATTAGTTTTTTCTATTTTGCCGAAATAGATTTTTATTCTAGAAAATTGACACACCGAGTTTACTGTAGATTGCATATTTACTCAGTTTGATGTATTCTAGTTTTCGGAGAGGTTCGTTGTAGACTTGTTTGTTTCAAATTCAACTTATCAGTTAAAGTAGGCAGGAGAAAAATCGTTTCCGAACGCTTTAGTATGGAAAGTTGCTTATTGTAATAAGAATAAAAACGGCATAATTTTTTTTAAAAATCAGTTAATATCTTCAAATTAGTAAAAATCAGCCAATAAAATATCAAAAATCGCGTGAAAAAAATCAAGCTTCTTCTAATTTCTTTTAAAGTTTACTAAATCTTCTGAAATAACTAAACTTAGTTTTTTGTCTTATGGTTAGAGCATCCTAATATGTCATATTTATCAAATATTTTTACGCTCGCAGAATGTTTAGGGAGAAAAACAAAGTCTAACGTTAAATTAAGTTTTCCTAAAACTTACTTCTCGTTTTGCTAAGACCTAGGCGTAAGCCATGGCTAGAACCAACCTAGCCATGGCTAAGCCAACCTAGAACTGGCCACGTGAAGATCGTTGCACGTTATTCCAACCTGTACCCTATTCAACTGGACTATAAATTAGTCTCTAGAATTCGAATCATAATTGCTTATTTTGAGAGTGATCCTTTCTTTCTCTGAGTCAGGTCAAACAAGTCAGTTTAAGGAGACCGGAAAGTAATGTCGTTTCGGTGCATTTGATATTTGTTATCAAGATTTTATTTTTCATCAGTAATGTATTCACCCTCGTTAGCAACAACCTTTCAATGCCGGATTGAAAATGAATCGAAAAAAAAAATGAATTGGTTTTTAAGACTAACGAATATGTAATGCGCCGAAACATAACTTTCAGGTTCCCCTAATAATTAGCTGTTATTGTGAAGAACCACGGTATTATCCCCGGTAATGGCTTGAAGCCCACTGAGCTTCAGATAGATGGGTATCAGTTTGTCTGAGAAGTAAAGGCGGCCGGTGCACAATGATGTCACCACCATCATACAGTTAATCTCGAAATTGTAGAATCTTAACCAATATGACCCCCTTGTTCAACAACTAGCTGCTGTAGGAGTGCTTTACTTCAAGTAGATCTTTTTACCAGGATGTGTTCCCCTTTCTACCGTGGTTCCGGGGTAATGTTGTTGAACGGTGTGAATGGCCAAAACTCAAAGTAAAATATTGTTAACCAAACTTTAGATCTCTCTTCTGATAAAATTATTTGTTTGTGCTATATTTTCTAAAGTATGACTGCAATGTAAGGTGTATTGAAAAAATTTGGCAGGAAAGTAAGTTTATTTATAGAAAGTATGCATATGCTTTCGAGTAGAACTTTTATTAATAGTTAGTATTAATATATTACGATATCCTTTAAGTCTATTGATTTTAGGAAATTCAAGTGAAGAAAACTGCGCAATTATTTATTGACGTTTGAAAATCCGATTATTATATCAAGAGTTATTCGGAGTTCTTTTTTTTTTTTTTTTTTCTGANGTAGATCTTTTTACCAGGATGTGTTCCCCTTTCTACCGTGGTTCCGGGGTAATGTTGTTGCGCGGTGCGAATGGCCAAAACTTAAAGTAAAATATTGTTAACCAAACTTTAGATCTCTCTTCTGATGAAATTATTTGTTTGTGCTATATTTTCTAAAGTATGACTGCAATGTGTATTGAAAAAATTTGGTAGGAAAGTAAGTTTATTTATAGAAAGTATGCATACGCTTTCGAGTAAAACTTTTATTAATAGTTAGTAATAATATATTACGATATCCTTTAAATCTATTGATTTTAGGAAATTCAAGTGAAGAAAACTGCGCAATTACTTATTGACGTTTG